TTGAGCTTGGCACCTCCCTCCCCAAGTTCTAGTTCTGAGCCAGGCATCTTAGAATCAGGCAGATAAAAATCACCTTAAACAACTCCCACAGGCGCTTACGATCCTATGAATTTGAAGGGCCTCTCGCCACCTCCGAACCTGAGGCTTTGGGTAGAGTCCCAAGCTCCATGCATGTCTGAGACCCCGCAGTCATCCCGCGACTGCCAGTCATCCCGGGAGCCCCTGAGTAAGCGCTACTAGCTGGCTCTGTCTCAGAGTTTCTAGCTCCTTCCAATCCCTTCCCTCCCCTCAAACAACCAGCTCACTGAGCACACTGGAGTGGGTAAAGTCTATTTAAGATCATAAACGCAGGTTCTGGTGTCGGTCCATAGGTACAAATGCCATAAGACCTACAACATGAGATGCAGGAGGCGTCAGAAAGTCGGTAGGATTTGATTCAGAGCGTGACCACAGGAGGGTGGAATTACAGCGGATCCGGAAGTAGAACAAGAACATTTTAGACACAAAATAGAGTGTGGACATCAGGCATGGAAGAGGGAAATGTCTGGGGTATTGCCAAAGAAGGGCTAAAAACCCAACAGTCTGAAGGAACAGCCAAGAGAAGGGGTGGCCAGCTAGACCGTAAGGGCCTGGGAACACCAGCCGAGATCTGGCCTCAGCTCGGGAGTCGGCTGGCACCACTGACGGCGTTTAAGCAGAGGAATAAAGGGGTCAGCGTTGACCTCCAAGAACAGTAGGTGGGATGGACTGGAGCAGAGAGAGACTGGAGGGAGGCCAGGAAGAGACTGGCGTCCTGCTCACCCGCAAGAGGGGGCTGACCGGCCTGCAGTGAGGACGGAATGGAGGTGACAGAGACAAATCTGCTCCCTCAGATTTCTCCATGCAGAGGTGGCCTCAGCGAGGACAGGTGTGACAACACAGTGTCCAGAATGTCCCCACACACTGCCCACGGCCAGGATGAGGCGCAAAGGCCCAGCCCTGGGCGCTGTCAGAGCCCACGGGCCCCTGTGACAAGCCCGATCACGTTCTCTTTCCACACGTAGTTTCCTCAAGGATTCCCAGGCCTGGGGGTTCCCTGCCGTGTGGAGGAGCCTCTACCCCACGGAGTGGGGTGTGCAGGGAAGTCGTCACAAAGCCCATTTCAAACACAGTCGGCCTTTGGCGTCTCTCAGCTCTGAGCTTCCAGAACCTGTGACTCGGCAGCAATCCTCTCGCTCTGTCTGCTCTCCGCAAGGCCCCGCTGTAGACTTTCTCGGAATTTAAGTTGCATTTTTCTACTAACCAACCTTGATGTTTTCCTACTTCAAGTCTACACTGCCTCTCTCCTGTGGACCAAAACGTGTCCCTCCCAAAATCCGCGCTGAAGCCCTGCCCCCAGGGTGACTGTCTTTGGAGAAAGACCCTGTAAAGGGATAAAGAAGGTTACATGAGCTCAGCCGGGCTGGTGTCCTTGTGAGAAGAGGAAGGAGCCCCGGGAGGGCATGCACACCCGGGAGGCCACAGCAAGAGGGCGGCTGAGGAGGAAGGCCTCAGGCAAAACCAGCTCCTGGCGCCTTAATCTTCAACTTCCACTTTCTAGAACTGTGAAGAAATTAAGCCACCCAACCTGTGGTGTTCTGGTATGGCAGGGGGAGCTAACACAGCAAAGAACTGCCTGCGTAGGCTGCGTATAGGAAAGGGAAGGAGTCAGGAAAAGCCTGGTCTGTGGCTGGGTGACGGGCAGAGAAGGGATCCCATGAGAAGGTGGTACCGTCAGGAATGAGATGGCACAGGCAGTGACTGGCAGAACATCGGAAGCTGGACAAGCATGTGGGTTTAGAGCTCAGGGGATGAGGAACCAGAGTCTGTGTGGCTCAGGAAGCCTGTGAGCGAGAATATGAGCGGCGGAGGGCCAGGGAGAAGGCCTGAGAACACCCCTACATCCAGGTGACAAGAAGATGAAATGAGAAGGAACAATCAGAAGGCCGGGATTTCACTGTGTAGTCAAACTAGAAAGAAGATTTTCCAGATTGGTCAGTTAACAATGCCAAGAGAAGCTAAGCGGTAAACAGGATTAAAACAGAAAATGTTTTTCTGTAAGTCCAGGGCGGACGGGGCTGTAGGGCAAGCAGATAATTAACAGACACTGTGGGCCTCCCCTGGTGGCGCAGGCTGTTGAGCACAGTGCTGTGAAGCTGTCCGCAGCCTCTGCAGCGCGGGTTCAATCCCTGCTGGCCAGCGAGGGCCCCACATGGCGCGGCAGAACTATCCTGTCTTGCCCGCTGCTCCCCTCAGCAGTGTATTTCGTCAGACTGCCTGTTCTGTTCCCCGCTCTGGTGAATCCTCTCACCCTCCTGCACATCTGGCCTGTACCCCAGTTCTTTTATAAATAAATCTTAAAAAAATAAATATAAATAAATAACAGACACTGAACAGAGACACATCTTGAAATAAAGGAGAGAGCTGGAGACCAGCTGAGGGACACAGGGGTGGATGGCCTAATGTCAAGAAAACTCTCAGCGTGGAAGTCTGTTGAGGGACTCCGGGGTTAGCCGTGAGGAGACGGGTGGCTCCACTGGGCTACAAAGGAGTGGAAACATGAGACAAACAGTAAAACAAGCCACTTACCTCGGCTTTGTTTTCTCCTGCAAAGAAGAGCTGAAACTAACCAGACCTGAGAATATGGACGAAACACCCCACTGGGCTCAAGCAAGCAGCCAGCCAGGGAGGCTATGCTGCTGGCGCCAGAGGGGCGGCAAGGAGGAGCTTGGAGCCAGAGCTTCCCATTTCTCCAGAGAACCTGGAAATCTAGATTCACACGAAATGCCCGTTTTTAAAAATTGGCAGCTATTTCAAACTTGTAAGAAACTCCATGTCAATCAGGCAGAATTTGAGTCGGCGAGGAGCAGCTAATAGCCACTGGCAGACAGGATTCCCAGAGGGGCCTCTCTGGTGGTGCAAGGGGTTAATGTAGCACTATGAAGCTTTCCACAGCCACTGCACCACAAGATCAATCCCCAGCCAGGGAGCTACCCACATAGCACAGCAGACCTCTCCTGTCTCGCCTGCTGCTCCCCTCAGCAGTGTATTTCGTCAGTCGGCCTGTTCTGTTCCCCACTCTGTCTCTGGTGAATCTTCTCACCCCCACATCTCTGGCCTCACCCCAGCTCTTGTATGCATAAATAAATCTTAAAAAAAAGAGATTCCCAGAACCACAACACCCTCAATTATAAGTCCAAACTCTGAATAAAAATTTCTGGAAAACAACTCAGGTTGAAAAAAATGTATATGGTATAGATCTATCTGATTTAGTTACTGAGAAGACGACTACCAAATTATTCATTTAGATCTAACTTTATGTATCTAGTTGTCTGTGTGCTTAGATCTAACTAAATATAAATATCTAATATTTCTAATGATATAATATCTATATTACATCTCTTGTCTATCTAATCTTTCGTATCTCCAACTAGATACACTCTAAATAAACACTATGTCATTCATGATGGGGTGGTCTCAGGAACGTGTCCTCAGGCAACACCATGGTGAGGATGTCACTGTTCTCACGCAGGCCCAGATGGCACTGGCTCCTTACACAAGGTACAGGAGGACCATAAGGTGCATTAAGAATAGAAGATGGGCCTCCTCTGGTGGCGCAGCAGTTAAGCGCTGGGCTGCGAAGCTGCCCGCAGCCTCTGCAGCACCGGTTCGATACCTGGCCCCCGGCGAGGGTCCCACATGGGGCGCAGACCTCTCCTGCCGCTCCCCTCAGCAATGTACTTCATCAGTCTGCCTGTCCTGTTCCCTGCTCTGGCTCTGGTGAATTCTCTCACCCTCCCGCGCTTCTGACTGTACCCAGTGCTTGTATAAATAAATAAATCTTTAAAAAAAAACACAAGACACTGTCAGAGAGAATAAGCACCTGTGCACCACATGGAGAAGCCGACCCACACACGCCCTGCCCTCTCGAGGGGCTCCAGAACCCCCTTTTCTGCGAGGACACTGGGGCACTTTCTGGTTTCTGAATGCCGGCCTGGGATGGGCAGGCACCTGGGCGCAGGTTGGGGTCCCTGTCTGCTCGCTCTACACCACCTCTACAAAGTGTTTTAGCTGCAGAAGTCAGGGCGAAGAGGTTGCTCCCCATGAACTAAGGGGAACAAATAATCAACTGACTTGTTCCTGGTCTCTGAAGTATCACTTTGTTCCCAAAACTGCAGAATTACAAGTAGAACAAAACATCCTGTACAAGGAGGGATGTATCGGACTCTGGGGCGCTTTTACAGAACTTTAACTGGCCTGAGAGCCAACACCCGGAGCAGATGAAGGCTCCACAGGTGTGAACACAGGGCAACCAGCAGGGGGACCGAGGACAGACCAGGGTGGAGAGGATGGCGTGAGGAAGCGTCCCCTGAAAGGCAGTGACCCGGCCAGGTATGGACGCTGGCTGCGAGGGGGTCACGCGTGAACAACTAACCCGCCAGGTAGCGCCACTGAATTTCCAAGAGATTAGAGAAACACTGTGGGAGGAACATTCTGCTTGAGGTGGGGAAGCAGGAGGGGCAGGTTTGGGTGACAGGCAGGTGCGCCGATTCCCTGAGGACGGAGAAGGCCCACACCCTTCTCTGCCGTCTCCCACAGCGCCGCTGTTTGTGAGGTCACAAGCAGCCCGGACCCCCAGCATGTCATCTAACCGCGGCGAGCCAGCAGCCACGCATCAGCACAGACCACAGAGACGCCTCCTCTCCCCACAGGCACTTACATAACCAACCCCTGGGAATGTTATAGGACAGGGAGAGGGGCAGCCCAAACCAGCACCCAAAGTGACCCGTCCCCTCGTGGGTAAAAGTCCATCCATATGGGATCGGCCCAGAGCAAGGCCCCAAAGCCTGCCACAAGTCTAAAGCATTTTCCAGTGGGGACCCACAGAAAAGGGTCACAAACAACCGGACAAGCCCGGAAGGAAAAGAGCAAAATCAACATCAAGATAAAAGCTGCCATTGTCCCCTCCCCACAGGTCTCACCCACATCTGTGTCACCCCGTCCACGACCAAAAGACAAGCGCAGTTTCTTCACGTGTCTCTAGGCTCCATGCGCCTCCTCCCGGTCTCCTGGCTCCATCCTGCTCCTTCCTTCCTCAGTCTCTTCTTGCAGCTTCTTCTCTTGCTGCTCAGCTCCACCCTCCCTTGGGTGGGGCAGGGAACCTCCCCCTTTCCTGGGGACCACCCTGTTGCAGGAAGACGAAACAGTAAAAACCCAGCAAGGCAGCGAGTGAGCAGTGTTTAACCCCAGTCACTGCGACCATGGAGCGCTCTTGGTTGTGTAACCCAGGATAACCACAGAGCAAATTCTTCATTTCCTGGAGGCATGAGGGGAAGGGAGAGCAGGGGCGCTAGGGTCACATTCGACCTGAATGTTATTCACTTTGCACCGAACTCCATGCTGGTCTATAAAACTCTGAACGCAGCAAGGAGAAAACAACATCGCCAGGCAGGCTGACGGCACATCTGAGATTTATGGCTTTGGAAGGAATGCGGCCCCTCCGGCATTTGTGCACACCTGTGTCATGAGGAAGACAAACAGAATGCGAGATTTTTTGTTGGGAAAAAAAATCAGTTGGTGGAGACGGGTAATGTGTCAGCAACTGCAGCCAAGCTGAGGACTCGCTGCAGTCATCAGCTCTGAACAAGGACGTCCTGTCCTGTGCCCGCACAGTCCATCTTCCTTCAGAGTCTGCCTCAGGCCTTTGGCACATGCGATTTCTCCCAGTAACATCAAAGGAATCCTACGCTATCCCTGCTGGTATTTACAGATGTCTTGAGCAGGGAAGACAGAAAAGCAATTCAATTTCCTCTTTCAAGAGCATTTTACCTACAGCAGATCCTACATGTTTGCTGCACATAATATACTTCAGGCCAGCTGGTTTCCGCCTTTGAAATGCAAGATTTACGAAAATTCAAACACTCAAGTATGTTCCTCCTTAAAAAATTTGTATCCACAATAGAAAACTAAGCAGTACCCTAAAATATGTCTTTGCTAACGACTCCCTCCCTCCCTTTGATAATCCCTGTTCAATTTTAGCCAAAGATTTCAAATGTGGAAAATTAACCAAATGCATTCCTTTGAGAATTAGGCGGAGGGGAGTGATCATGGATCCACTAATTCTTAGCCCTGATAAGGGAGGGAATCAGTTTATCTGCTGTCACTAGATAACACTCCTCACCCCCTGCCTCCAGGAAAGAGACTTTGTCCTACAGGGCAGGACTCCGGGGACAGAGTTCAAGGTCTCACACTTTACTTGCTTATTTAAGACTTTTGCAAGTTGAGAGAGATGCAGCTGGCGTCCTCGGACAGAGGACACCCACGGACTGTTGACGGGACCGGTCGGTCCCTGAATGTCGCCAAACCATCCTGAGGGTTGGCTGAACCCAGGGTATCCTCCAAATTGACATGTTTTATAAAAACACTTTGAACTTGCATTTCTACCCCTTCACTTTCTCCGTAAGTACCAGGGTCTGCTCTCCAGTCCCTCCCTTAAGACCAACTCCTCGTCTCTTTCTCCCCATGTTCAGTGGAAAAACACTGTCAAGAAACAGAAGTCCAGGGGAGAGGAAGGACTAGAGTCAAAATAAGGGGGGGGGGTGCAATTATATGGGGAATATAACCAAAATGATAATGCATACATTGTGCAAAGATGAAAAATTATGTAAGAATTATATAAAATATTGAAAAAAAGGTATGAGAAAATATAAGCTCACAAAATGACTCAAACAAGGCAGAATTTTTGATTCATTTATGATGCTAAGTCTATATTCTGTCAATAAAATATGCCAATGGAATGGAAAAAAAACAAAGAAACAAAAGTCCAGACTGTGCTCAGGACTCAAGGATCAGCACAACCCAGCCCTATCTCTGCCCGAGCTCCTCAGCAGGCCCTGGGTGACCACCCACACCCAGCCTGCCCTTTGCTCCACCGGGAGCTCCTACCCTCTGATTACAAATTCAGAGCAGCTGCTAAGCAAACACTTTTTCCAAGTGAATGAATTCAAGACCTGCCGCTTGCTAAGACGCAGTTCAAGCTCTGGATTATATCAAATGCTTTCCAGACCATCTCCATCCGAAGGGATCTATCCACCCCCAGCCTCTGAATTTCAAGCATCATATATATAATTAACAAGTTGTGGGCCTCCCTGGTGGCACAAGGGGTTAAGCACAGCACTGTGAATCTATCCACAGCCTCTGCAGCATGAGTTCCATCCCCAGCCCGCCAGGGAGCTATGGCCAGGGAGCTATTCACAGGGCGCAGCAGACCTCTCCTGTCTCCGTGCTGCTCCCTCAGCAGTGCATTTCAGTGAGTCTGCCTGTTCTGTCCCCCACTCTGTCTTTGGTGAATCCTCTCACCCCCGCACATCTGGCCTGTACCCCCGCTCTTGTATGCATAAATAAATAAACCTTAAAAAAAGAAAAAACAAGTTGTGTTAGTATCTACTGTGGGGCAGACACCGGGATTCAACCCAGATTAGCTACTATCCTGCCCTCAAAGAGCTCAGAGTGCAGAGGGGAAAGTTATGAACATGTTACAGGGCAACCCCCAATAGGAAACGGGGTGCCTGACTGTGTCCTCACCCACGCACTTAAAAAGGACTTATGGATACTCAACTGCAGGCGCACACAGAAGGTTAATAAAGGGTTTGTTTACAAAAGAAAGGAAAATGAGTCTCTCAGGGAGAAAAGAGGGAGATAAACTCTTGAATGCGTCCTACCCGTTCCACTGACCCGGATCCCTATGGCACGCTGCGAGCTGGCGAGGAGCCAACAGCCGTGAGGCCGAAAGAGAGCCGCCTGGCCCACGTGTCTGGTTTTATACCCAACCTGGCTGCTTAACCCCACCCTCAGGTCCCGGCCACCCTCCTTTGGGGGTGATGGGATTTGTCTCTCCCAGTGCCTGGATGGGTTTGGTCTGGAGTGGGGGTGGAGCTTGCCCAGGACAGCCTCTCCTCCTGACTGACATAACTGCTGAACAACGGTGGCCTCGTCTCCTTAACATTTAAAAGAAAACGTCATGTTATTGTCAAGCTTGTTTGTTGCATCTGGGCCCCTTCCACCGCCTACCGGGCCCCCCAGCCACTGGGGGAGGATGTCAGCTGGCAGGAGAAAGGCCTCCCGGCACAGGCAGCAGCACAGGTGTGACCCAGCGAGGCGCAGACAGCCCAAGGAGGAGGCGTGTGTGGAAAGAAGCAGGTCAGCTGGGCCTGCCTTAGGCCCGTTGCTGCGGATGACAGAGGGGCCTCAGCATCGCCGGCACATGAGGCTGGGGGCCTCAGAAGCTGGGGCCACCTCAGCCAAGACCACAGCCTCCACAGCCACCATCCAGCAGGCAGGGGGTCATCTTTCCAAACCCTTGCCACCATGTGGTTTCCCTCCTGCCCTGGGGTCCTGCTGACTCAAAGCTGTCCAGAGACGCCAAGCAGCAGCACTCAGACTACAGCGGGCGCTGAACGCATCAGGCACAGCAGGAACAGGCTGCCGGTGCCCGCTAGGCCGCTGAGGAAACGGAGTCTGGACAGGAAGACGAGGTCTGCTCTGGGATGCAGGCTGCCAGCGCCAGCCTCGCCATGATTCTGCCACTGAGAGGAAAACACACCCAGCTCTACCTTCCTCTTCTCAATTCCCATGTAACAAAGGTGAAAACCATCTAGCCAAGAGGCAACCAGAGAACTCAACAGCGGATACGGGTGCATCCTCAGCCAGGCACACCTGAGACTGACACGGTGCCATGTTATTCCAATTTAAAAATTGAGACACCCATTCCCACGTGAGCAGAAGCAGGACCTCGGGTGACCCGGGAGAGGCCCCGAGTTCTCCAGCCCCCTCTCCTCAGGGCAGCTCGTCAAAACACCCCACTCTGTTCTTGCAGCTCCTGGGCAGACACCCTGCCTTCCACTTATCCAAATATTTAGACCAGGTCCTATCTAAGAGATGGGATTCCAGCAGGTAACGTGAAGGACAAGGTCCCTGTTCCCTTGAAGCTAAACACCAGCAAAGGTGACCAAAAAGTAAACAAGATGACTTCAGATGATAAAGGCTACGAACAGAGGCGGAGGCCTCCGTTAAACACGCTTCCTGGGAGCGACACTGACAAGGAGCCAGTGTCAAAGCTCCAGGTCAGCGAGCCTTAGAGGGCTGAAAAGCACATTCACCATCCACCATCCCAGTCTTTGGATACACACATTTGAAATGTTAGCGTATTTGTGTTTATGTTCAGACACATCATATTTATAATTTCCTTTCCAGTACAGCCTTCGGGAAACAGATGAGAGGCTTTGATCCATGACAAAACTGAGGCTGCCGTCGCTGCCTCGGCTGTGACCTGTCGCTGAGGACTGACTGAAGCCCAGAGGACTGCGCCCCGGCTGTGTGCTCTCTCCCTGCGAGGAGCTGTGCAGCAGTGTCGATGAACATGGGACATGCTTACTGGCCATTGCATAGTCTATGGTGCAAAGAACATGCTAAAGAGTCAAAGATAAGAATGATTTACTTAGTCATAATGGCACAAACTCAAAGTCCCCGAGTTATTTGCTGCAGGAGAGAACATGTGACCGGTAACTAGACAATCAGCCTTAGGAACGTCTTGATACTGGATATCTCGAGTGTGTGTTTGATCACATGCAGGGACAGTTACTCAGGAGGAATGTGGGGCCAGCGAGCCCTTAGATGAAGGTCACATTTAAGGGGCCTCCCCTGGTGGCGCAGCGGTTCAGCGCTGGGTTGCGAAGCTGCCCGCAGCCTCTGCAGCGCCGGTTCGATCCCCGGCTGCTCCCCGGCCACCGGAGGGTCCCGCATGGCGCACAGACCTCCCCTGCTCTGGCTCTGGTGAATTCTCTCACCCTCCCGCTTCTGACTGTACCCAGTGCTTGTGTAAATAAATAAATAAATAAATATTAAAAAAAAAGAAAGTCACATTTAAAATCCCTGACTCCTGGGCCTCCCTGGTGGCGCAGGGGTTAAGACGCAACCTATGAAGCAATCCGCAGACACTGCAGCACAAGTTTGATTCCCAGCCGGCCACGGAGAAACCCACATGGTAGGACAGACCTCTCCTGTCTCGGCGTCCACTGCTCCCCTCAGCAGTGTACTTCGGTCCGTCTGCCTGTTCTGTTTCCCACTCTGTCTCTGGTGAATCCTCTCACCCCCGCATCTCTGGCCTGAAATAAATAAATCTTTAATAAATAAATAAAATCCCTGACTCCTGTCCTTAGGAAGTAAGTGGTCCCCAAACCTGCCTCACCAGAACCATCTGGAAGGGTGTTGAAAAAATGAAGACTGTCGACCCACAACAACCCAAAGAATCAGAAACTCCCCAGGACATTTGTAGGGACCTTCTTAGGGACCTATGTTTTAAAATTCAGCCAGCCTAGAAATCTATGTGATGAAAAGAGTAAAGATGCCTGTTTTTATTATCTATGGGAGAGTTAGGTTGTGTCCTGTCAGGGCTGCTTCCAGAAAAAAACTCTCTAGCGCCCTAGCCCTAGAATAGTGGGAATTTCTGCAGACAGACGGCTCCCTGGTGACCCGTGAGGGCTGTTGCTTACTCCCCTGGCTGCAGGCCAGAGCGCTCACAACCCTGGGAAAGCGGCAGGAGGGTCAGTTTCCCAGGTCCTTAGCCACACAGACCCCATCTGGCAAAGGGCCAGGCGTCCAGAGCAGAGAGAATCCAGTGTGCACAGCCTGGACCCTCCATCAGGGGGCCGGGCCCTCCCCAGCAGCTCCCCTACCTGGTCGCCAGCCCCAGCTTGGATAAAGGAAAAGGAAAATAAAGGTGGTTCGGGCCCAGTGGCCAGCCCTGGGCAGGGAGACCCGAGTCTGCGCTTACCTGGATCTGGAAGAAGAGGAGCTGGTTCACCCGGGAAGGCTGTCGGCTAGTGAGCGCTAGTCTTAGAACTCACTGGACTTTGAGCAAAGATTGATTTAAAAGCTGATGTATTTAACAGGGATGTGTGATCTGAATTCAAGTGACCTCTGTCCTGCTTCCCTGCCAGCTGGCTGGACCCTGAGCTGGGCAAGCCTGAAGAGCCTCAGCAAACCCGCGCGCGGACCCACCTGCCCGGCTGCGGGCGCCTGGCCGGCCTGCACTCCCCGCGGCAGGAAGGGAAGCCGGCCAGGAAGGCGGTGTTCTGCTCCTCGGGTGGCTCCCTGGCAGATGCCCTGGTCACACCCATCCCGGCCCAGGCACTAGAAGCCTCCATTTCAGGGCCGGGTCAGGCTGGAGGGTCCCCGTCAGAGCATCCTCGCGCGCCAAGGCCTTCCAGGGCGCAGTGACCCCGCGGCGCCCACCAGGGGAGACCAGAGGGCCATTAAGCCCAAGAGACAGCCAAGTGTGCCCACTCTCCCTCCCCTCGCCCCGGGATGCTTACTTGCAGCTCCTCCCCAGGAATTCCACCGGCAATGTCCTTCTTCCTTTCAGCTCTCTCTCTCTCTACTCTCTCTCTCTCTCTCTCCCCCTCCCCCCTACCCCTCCCTCACCTGAGGGCTGTCTCTTTAGTCTCCTACACACCCCCTCCCGCAAGCCCAGCGGGGTAGGTGGGAGGCACTTCCACCAGCTCCTCAGCCCTGCCGCCCTCAGCGGGGTGTGCCCTGGCCTGGCCCCCAGCCCCAGCCAGGAGAGCAGCTGATCCCTACCAGCAGGCAGCCCACGGGCAAACCCAGCACGGTTCCCGCTGACCTGGATCCTCTGCCCACACTGGAAACCAGGGCAGGAGATGGCTACAGGCAGTGAGGCAAAGTGAACCTCAGCCGCCCTGAAGGGTGGGGTAGTCTCCCGCACCCCAGCCCTGCTCGGAGACCACCTGACTCTGCTGGGTCTCGGCAGGCAGGGCCTGGGGGTAGATGGTGAAAAGGACAAACACCTGAGCAGCTGACTCTGGCCGGCCCGAGGCCCCCGGGCCTCCTGCGTGTCTTCCGGCTGAGGGTGGGCTGGGAAGCCTGGGGTTAGGATCAGAACTCCCGCCCCACCTCCCAGGCGTCAGATGTAATTCACTTGTAACTCTCTGAGTCCACACTCGGCCCCTGTAAGTAGCTGCTCTTACACGCGTTTTTTAAATTTCTTTTTTACATTGAGTCACGGCATTTCTCACCTCCCCTAAGTTCCCACAGTGGCCTCTGAGCGGCACCAACTGAGCCTGCTCCGCACACGGCAGCCCTGCAAGGGCCTGAAGCAGGACGAGCCGCCATCAGCCTCCTTCGCTCCGGGAACGCCCATGTGCCCTCGTGCATGACTCGCTGGCTAAGCCAGGGAAGACTTCTCGTCCTGGGTCCCACCGACCAGCTCAGGGGCCCTCGTAAAATCAAGTACCTAAGGGTGTGGGGACTGAGCTGTATCTTGAGGGCAGGAGTGGCCCCATGTTGTCTACAATTGTCTGCAAAAGTCATCGAACAATACACCTGTAGACAGGTTGCCTGTAAATAATACCTCAATTTTTAAATAAAGGCGCCTAGGTCAGTAACATTTATTATTGAAGCTTCTAAAGTTAAAAAAAAAATAATAATAATATGAAAGAAAAAGTTTGTTCTCCGTTCCAAACAGAGAGACCTTCAGACGCCCCTGCACCCTCGCACAGATGAAACAAACCTTCAGGCTCCAAGCCGAAGAGGCTTGAGTACAGAGACTGTGTTGGTTTAAAATCAAATCAAAATGAGCAATTTTTCTTAATGACAAAACTCAGTCTCCGTGTTGAACTGAGTGAGATCTGCCCTTGCTAAAGTTTGGATTTAAAAAAAAAATCTCAGGCCTGTTAAGTGGATCTGATCTGATTTTTAAAAAAAAAAAAAAAAAAGGAGTAAGTCTTTTCATTGATTCCTTAGATCTAGACATTAATGAGAAGGGAAAATAACATTATCCATTATGGCCTGGGAAGCCTCTATGCCCATTGCTCTGGGTAGCCCCCAGCACGACCCCTCTGTTTTACAGATAAGAAAACTTAAATTCCTCCAGTCAATTATCCCGCCCAAGGGCCCCTGGCTGGAAGGACCACAGCGCCCCGCCTGTCTGTCTCCCTGCGTGGTGTTATTTTACCTTTACGACGGTTAAGGGACGTGCTCGGTTCCAAGGAGGTGTCGGAGCAGAGGCTGACGACCTCTGCATGTTTCAGGAAAGGCGCCCTGCATTGTTAGGGAGACTGGAAGAGGTGACTTGGGGGTTCTTTCCACCTCTGCTATTCTGAGACTGTAAACACCATAAGGCTGTGTGGTGCAGGTCCTGGTGCGGGAGGAGAAAACACGTAGGTAAGAGTTACACGAGCCTGGGCGTCGGCCGCCAGCGCGCCAAGAAACCTTCATCTGTGGTTAATTGGGCTGATTGTGTTGCCGTGAGCTCAGGCTTGCCCGGGCTTTATCTCCGGGAACCCTGGCAGCCTGGGTGGAGGGTTTGCTTCTGTTTTTGTCTGACAGCACCCTTCACCCCGGGATGATCGGGAAAGAGACAAAAAATGGGGTCAATAATGGACATTACTTGCTTTTATGTTTCTAGATCATGCAAATAGCAAAGGTCAGCTGCATCCCAGCCACGGCCCATCCCCAAGAGGGATCTGCGGCTGGGAATTCGCAGCACAGAATCCTTTTCTCTTCCCAGTGTCCAAACCAAGGTAGACAGGTGTCATGTTCTCTCCCTGGTCCGCTGACCCCTCCCACATTCTGTCTCTTTCATAAACACACCCCTTTACTGCTGCACCTCCCCCTGCAGTGACCTTTAGGGCTAACCGGCCCTAGGTCCGGCTGGGCAACCAGCGCGCAGGGGGAGAACAGCAAAACCCTACCTGCTGCACCTCCCCCCGCAGTGATCTTTAGGAATGGCTTTCGCCACGGTCCCTAGATCCAGCTGGGCAACCAGCGCGCGGGGGGGGGGGTGGGGGGGGGGAGAACAGCATAACACCCTGAAGCAGAGGAAGTGCAGCGGAAGTTCCCTGAAAAGGCAGAAGCTTATCAATAGATAACGACCACCAAGAACCACTACAAGAATGCTAAAAATCTTATCCCGTCTTTCTAGAACTACAAACTTTAATCCCTTATCTGTCTTTCTAAACTTCCTTCCTTCTTCTATAATGGTCATTGCTTGTTATGTAGATCACCTCCCTGATGGTGATAGACTGAGCCCCTGGGCAAGCTAATTTCTTTGATATTCATTCCTGTGCTTTTGGAAAACATATATATACTGGTCACAAACTCAAAGAAAATTACACTCAGATTTTCACTCTTGAAGTGTGTCTGTGTGTCATTTCTTTCGCCGACGCCCTGACCACCCTGCACGCTTCTCTCAACCCTGAGGTGGCCTCATCGTCTACTGCTGTGCTGGTCCGCGGCACTTTACCACACTTGTGTATTGTTTATTAATTATTTTCTGTCTCTTCCCCAGCAGAATAGAAATTCCCCAGAGGCAGGGGTTGGTGTTTGGTTTGTCACTACAAAACTCTGCCACCCCAAAACTCTGCCACCCCAAAGCTTGATTTCAGGGAGGGGCTCGGAAGTGGAGGCTGCTTTTGGGGTTTATATCTAAACTTCTCTCTAGATGGGTCTATTCCAGGAAGACCTGATACCTGCTCTCGTCTGTGGAGAAAAGTACCTTTGCTTTCCCCAGTAAATGCCCTAATTCAACTTTCCTTTTCTCCCCCAAACTCCTTTGCCCTAGCGAGGCTATTTAAGATGGCATCTAAAGCCACGTGGGCAAGTTCCCCAGTCACGCTGGGTCTCCCCCATGTACACATGTTAACATCCAACTCGCCTATGACTTTTTCTACCATCAATCTGTCCGGTGCTTGTTTATTGCCAGCCTGGAGGAACCCAGAAAGCTTTAGGATGATGTCCTTTGTTCCCCGCGAGCACAAGCGCCTGGCATGAGCCTGACTTCCAGCAAGCGTTCAGCGCATTATTGAATGAATTAATGAGCGTCCTCTGCCAACAGGTTTTCAGCTGAGCCTTTCACGGGGAATGTAGCTTTTTGAGAGTCTCGGCTCTACGCAGGGGCTCCAGGCCTCATTTGCTGTCCCAAAGTGACCCGCGAGAGGAAAAACGCTGTTTCCTGGTGTTCCCAAAAGAGGGGGCTTCTGCCCTCCAGGGAAAGAATGTACCGCGAGTGCGAGGTGTGGCTGGCCCAGGCAGGCTTCACTGGAGGTGCATGCACCAGGGAGCCGGTGCCAGCCTGGCCCAGGAAGGGACCCGGGAGGAGATATCTAAAGGGCAGGTCCACGCGCCGGGAGAAGGGGCGCCGTGTCTCGGCTTGTCCTGAGCTGGGCTACGCCGGGCTTGTGCAGATGGGCCTCGCTCCAGCCACGTGTGGGGCTCTGGGTGTTCTCCTCCAGGAAACGGTGAGGTAATCACCAGTCGGGCCTGGAGCCTCCTGCTCTATGCATGGGTCCAATCGCCTGGACAGGGCTCGCCGGGCCGTGATCCAGTCCACCGTGGACACGGCGCGGGGGGCCACGCTGCCAGACCCTGTTCTCTTACCCAGGCTGTCTCACTAGTTTTCAGCTTTTTTTCACTTCTGGACTTTAGACATTTCTTTCCTTCCAAACGGCGCTGTCTATTTGGGGAAAAAATGCTGGGTGTTGTTTACCTAACATTCCCCTGAACTTCATGTTTCCAGAAACACTTCTGCCCCTTAGCAGTTGTCCGTCTATGGGAGCACCAACTTTTTCATCTGTAAGATAGAGACAATGCTATCAACCCCAGAGGATTCCTCGGAGACTTAGTAAGACAACATACCAGGGTCTGATGAATGCTCAGTGCATAATATGGCTATTAATCTTTTCAAGAATTAGCCCTCTTAATTTGTGGGCGCACATTGTACAAACAAGATCATGAAAATAAATGAACGAGAAGGACAGCGGGCAAGCCAGGAGTTGAGGATATTGGGGACACTGGGGACAACATTGCTGCCCACACACATCACAGCGTTTGTGCAACTGGACAGAAACGCAAAACTAGAAAGATTTACCAAAGCTCCCCAATATTTTTCCAGCCACATCACACAGAGAAATTGAAACAGCCTTTATATAGTTCACCAGGATGAACGGATGAGGC